ATCAAGATCTAATCCTGGTCTGGTCCAAGTTTAGTCCAGGTCTGATCCAGTTCTAGTCCAGGCCACATCTAGGTTTAGTCTCAACCTGGGTCTGGTCTAGTCTTGGTCTGGGTCTAGTCCCAGTCTGTGTCTTGCCCAGGTTGAGTCCCAGTCTAGTCCCGGTTAAGTTACAGTGTCTAGTCTGGTCTAGACCCAGTGTGGTTCTGGTGTAGTCCCAGTCTGGGTTAGGTCGAGGTCTAGTCTTGATCTGTTTCTTGGTCTGGTCCAGGTCTAGTCCTGATCTGTGTTTTGTCCAGGTTGAATCGTGGTCTAGGTCTAGTCCAGGTCTAGTTCCAGTCTGGGTCCAGCAGGGTTAGTCTCAGTCTGAGTCTAGTCCAGGTCTAGTCCCAGTCTGGGTCCGGTCCAGGTCTGGTACAGGTCCAGTCCAGGTCTGGTCCAGGTCTGGTACAGGTCCAGTCCAGGTCTGGTCCAGGTCTGGTCCAGGTCTAGGTCGAGACCAGGTTTGGTCCAGGTCGGATCAACGTCTGGGTTTAGTCCAGGTCTAATCTAGGTCTGGTCCAGGTCTGGTCCAGGTCCGGGTTCAGTCCAAGTCTGGTCCAGGTGTGGGTCTAGTCCCGGTCTAGTCCCCGTCTGGGTCCACTCCAGGTCAGGTCCACATCTGGGTGAAGTCCAGGTCTAATCCCAGTCTGGGTCTGGTCCAGGTCTGGGTCTAGTCCAGGTCCAGTCCAGGTCTAGTGCAGGTCTAGTCCAGGTCAGGACCCGGTCTGGGTCTGGATTCCGGGTGGACTCAGTGGAATGTGGTTCACACGTAACTTTCGGTCAAAATGGAAACAAACTCGACTCAGAGACGGAAAATGAGACTCAGACTCAGACTCAGAGTTTGGGGTCAGCGGGTTCACAGGCAACACGGTTCTTCAGGGTTAAAAAAGCTGCACTCTGTCACTTTTCCCAACAAAGATTTTAGTGCTTTGACTGGAATGTTACTCAGTGTGTTTTTTTTTTTGTTTTTTTACAAGCCACACACAGAGCAAAGGTTTTTCCAGGAACAACTAAAACAGCTTTGTGAAATAACGACACAGTGCAGAACCTTGACGACTTTTCACCGCTGCCAGAGGTGAGACCAAGTCGATGTTTTGCAACTCTCAAATCTTTGACCTCAAGTCCAAGTCAAGTCCCAAGTCACTGACCTTCAAGTCTAAGTCGAGTCCCAAGTCTTAGTCCATTTTATCAAGTCAAGTCTGATCTCACGGTGATTTTAGCGAATTTGTATGAAGAAAAACCCAAAACTTCAATTCGTGTTACTGATTTATGACTTGAAGCTCAAAGCAGACGACTTGGACTTGACTTGGACTTATGGGACAGTGACTCGATACTCGACTTGGACTTGCCTGTATTTGACTTGGGACTTGACTCGGGCTTGAGGTCAAAGACTTGAGACTTGCAAAACAATGACTTGGTCCCACCTCTGGCAGCTGGTTTAGAGCTGGTTTAGTCCTGATTTAGTCCTGGTTTAGTCCTGGTTTAGACCTGGTTTAGTCCTGATTTAGTCCTGGCTTAGTCCTGATTTAGTCCTGGTTTAGTCCTGGTTTAGACCTGGTTTAGACCTGGTTTAGACCTTGTTTAGACCTGATTTAGTCCTGGTTTAGTCCTGGTTTAGACCTGGTTTAGACCTGGTTTTAGTCCTGGTTTAGTTCTGGTTTAGACCAGGTTCAATCCTGGTTCAGTTCTGGTTTAGTCCTCCTGGTTTAGTCCTGGTTTAGACCTGGTTTAGACATGATTTAGACCTGATTTAGTCCTGGTTTAGTCCTGGTTTAGACCTGGTTTAGTCCTGGTTTAGTCCTGGTTTAGACCTGGTTTAGACCTGATTTAGACCTGATTTAGTCCTGGTTTAGACCTTGTTTACTCCTGGTTCAGCTCTGGTTTAGTCCTCGTTTAGACCTAGTTTAGTTCTGGTTCAGTCCATATATATCGCAAAAGTTCCTCATCTTCTCTCGCTGATTGTTATTTGAAGATCAGCGACAGTTATTTTGTTGAGTCTCTTAAAGTGCTGCAATAGTCGTGTAATGTTTTATATTTTAAACACAGTAATATTGTAATGTAACAAATTACTTTGAAATGACAGAAACAAGTCATAAATAAATAACACATTACAGTTTTGAAGTAACTTGCCCAACAGTGATGGTAAATAATCAGATTTTAGTTATTAAACACAATACACATGATTCAGAAATCTCTTGGTGAGTAACTTGGAAGGAGGTGGAGAGTTTTATCTGTAGCCCCCGAGCTCCAGGTTGGAGACCCCTGGTGTACAGTGACCGGGACACACCGGGGTTGGTATAAATAAAATTGTGAAAATATTTTGTAACATTGTGCATTCTCGTGTCGGTCACGACCTGAGGGACTTCTGTTGCGGCATTTTTTGTTTTATGTTCATTCGCAAAGACAGTTTTCAGTATTTTGGCAAAACAAATAACAATTATGCTGTTGTTTACTGTTAGTGGGGATCAGAGTAGTCAAAAACTGTGATAGTCACTATCACCCATCCGCCGAGATATGTAAAATGACAAATTTTAATTGGCAAAGCAATTGCATCAAATATTTAGGAATACTAATACCAAAGGATTTATCTTTAATATATGAGGAAAATTATGGAACACTCACTACAAATATTAAGGCTGACCTGCAGCGACGGGGGATACTATCAATGAATATGTATAATAGGATTGAAATAGTTAAAATGAATTTATTACCAAGGTTCCTTTACCTATTTCAGGCGCTGTCAGTTGAAATACCCACCAAACAATTCAACGAATGGAATAGAATGATTTCAAATTTTATTTGGGGAAATACAAAACCAAGAATACGATTTCAAACTCTACAATTACGGAAGGAGGAAGGTGGATTGGCTATACCTTGTCTAGAGAGTTACTATAAAGCAGCCCAGTTACGAATATTGATAAATTGGTGTGACCCAAGTTGTGATGTTAAATGGAAAGATATTGACCAGTCATACTTTGATGTCCCAATACAATCTATACTTGGTGACCAACCTTTAATAAAAATACATTTGAATTCACAACTATTGCCACCATGGATAAACACACCAATTAATATCTGGAGTAAAATACTTAAAAACAAGAATACTGAACAAAGGGCCAAAATAATGCGCTGGCCAGCATTTGACTCAGAATTTCTACCAGCAAAAACAGATAACAGATTTCAACAATGGTCTCAAAATGGTATTACTGGTTATTGGTCTATATCACTGAAAGGCAGGTGCTGGAAAGCTATTTGGAACTCTCAGACAAGTACAATTTGGAAAAACATGATCTTTTCAGATACTTTCAGCTGAGACACTATTTCAATAGAAAAATAAAATTTCCTGCAGAAGAGGGGGATCTGGTAAATTATTTTCTAGAAGCATGCAAAGGTAATGCTCCTAAGAAACAAATAACCATTGCTCACAAATGTCTACAAGCATCAAAGAACATTTCTAGTATATACATTAAAGAAGCATGGGAAAAAGATTTTAATATTACAATATCTGAGGATGACTGGTACAATATCTGCAGAACTGCAATGACCACCTCCAGCTCTGGTCTTTGGAGAGAATTCACATGGAAAACTACTGTAGGTTTTTTTGTTACACCCTATATTAAGAGTAAGCGGAGTAATGACCCAGAGGCTCGGTGTTGGAGAGACTGTGGTGATGTCAGAGCAGGATATTTTCACATATTTTGGGACTGTGTTAAGATCACATCCTACTGGACAATGGTGATAAAAGCTATTCAAAGCATATTCAGATTACACCTGCCAAAATATCATTGGGATTTACTGAAGTCTTTTTTTGTAATATTATATGTGGATTACAGAAATCAGACAAATATCTTTTGTCAATATTGCTGGCTGGAGCAAAGAAAGCCATTACCAGGAAATGGTTGTGTAAAGATGCACCTGGACTCACTGACTGGATCAAAGTCGTCAACGAGATTTATGACATGGAAAGATTGACATTTTCATTGAGACTTTCTACTGCTAAATGTAATAGGTATTGGAGGAAATGGAACGATTATTTGAATTCGATATGTTAATACTGTCAGGACAGATAACTACTGTTTACTCTAGATGCTCTGAATTTGAATTTGAATTTTTATTTTATTTTACTTTGTTTTGTTGTGGTCTGCACTTCCGTTTCGTTTTGTTTTGTAAATGTATAAAATTTTCAAACACACAAAAATAAAGTTTAAAAAAAAAAAAAAATAAATTGTGATAGTCCTGTGTTAGTCCTGGTTTAGACCTGTTGTAGTCCTGGTTTAGTCTTGGTTTAGATAAAATTGGTCAAAATAGGGACACCTCACCTGGGACATTTTTTTTGTATAAAACTGGGACAAATCACTGGTTTTGTATAAATCTAGGGACGTCTGGTCGCCCTAGCATTGCGTCTCCATGGTAACCGCTGCACCTTCCGTCGCAGAGATACATGTAGAACATCCCCAGCATGATATCACTGCAAAGTAGCAACAGAACAGGTGATGAACCGTCCTCCGGAGAAAAGTTACACAGTGCATCTTTAAAAGTATTGATGAAAACACAGCGTTAATAAAGTGAAATAAAGCGCTGGGTGTATAGCGCCACCTGCTGGACACACAGACACGCGCCATGGAAGACGAGAGAGAGTCTGTGCTGCCCTCTGCTGGTCACTCTGCACATGCGCAGAAAACTTTGGTTATAATCATTTTTTAATCTCTGCGCTAATTTACCAAACACTTACTGTTGAAAATAGAAAATATGGTATAAAATAATATTATACTCGCAAATATATTTTTAAATCTATGAAAATTGTTCACTGACGAAGCTTAAGTAAAGAACAAATTGTATATTTAGGTCCCAAAATTACTATAAAAATTACTTCGCCCAAAAGTAGATTCTCTAGGTTCTATCAGTTCTCCGCGGTTGCCACACCGGCCTGCCCCGCCCCGGCCCCGGTGTGCGCCCCTCCCAGCCCCCCGCGCACCGCTCTTCTCCGGGGGGTCCGGGCTTGAACTTCTCGGGTGTCCTCCTCGCTCCTCCTCGGCTCCTCCTCGGCTCTTCCCCGGCTCTTCCTCCTCCTCTTCCCCGCGGATGTGATGTAAACACGGCCCCCGAGCTCCGTCTCCAGCCCCGTGCCCGTGTCCGAGCCCCACACCGAGCTAACGACGCCTCCCCGGGCTCCGCGCCGCTCCCAGGCCGCTCTGCAGCCCGCTCCTCCGGGCCAGTGACCGCACCAAGGACCGTTACTCGAGCTCCAGGATGAACCTCTGAGGACCGAGTGTGCGCGCCGAGCCAGGCCGAGCACAGCGCTCCGTCAGGCGGCTACACACGGACCGAGGCCCCGCTGCTGCTGGAGCGACAAAAAGAACAGGTAAGAACTTCGGACAAACTCGAGGAAAAGTCACGTTAAAGTGAATTTTAAGTTTAAATAAAGAGTTTTTAACGCGTAAAAACGTGACACTGTGAGCCAGAGGATCCGAGGCCGAGGCTGCCCCAGGCCTAAACTTTTCCTGAAGCTTCAGCGAGCGGAGTCTGGAGGAAATTAGGGTTAGTCCTGCTCCAGTCCTGCTCTAGTCCTGGTCTGGAACTAGTTTAGAACTGGTCTAGTCCTGGTTTAGTCCTGGTTTAGCCTAATCAATGTTTAATGCTTGTTTTAGAACTGGTTTGAATAAAGTACCTTTGTAAACCTGGAGGAACCTGGTGTGGGCCAAGGTTCTGGTTGAGTTTATTTAGTCCTGGTGTAGCACTGGTTTATTACAGCTTTAGGTCTGGTTTATTCCTGGTGTAGTCCTGGTTTTGTCTTGATTTAGTCCTGGATTAGTCTGGTTTAATCCCAGTTTAGTTCCAGTTTAGTCCTGGTTTATTCCAGGTTTAGTCCTGGTTGAATCCTGGTTTAATCCCAGTTTAGTCCTAGTTTAGTCCTGGTTTGATCTTGGTTTAGTCGTGGTTTAATCCCTGTTTAGTCCTAGTTTTGTCCTGGTTTGGTTTTAGTTTAATCCTGGTTTAATACCAGTTTAGTTCCAGTTTAGTCCAAGTTTAGTCCTGGTTTCGTCTTGGTTTAGTCCTGGTTTAATCTCTGTTTAGTCGTCTTTTTGTCCTGGTTTGGTCTTGGTTTAGACCTGGTTTAATCCTAGTTTATTTCCAGTTTAGTCCTGGTTTAGTCCTGGTTTAATCCTAATGTAGTTCCAATTTAGTCCTGATTTAGTCCTGGTTTTATCTCAGTTTAAAACTAGTTTAGTCCTGGTTTGGTCTTGGTTTAGTCCTGGTTTAATTCCCGTTTAGTCCTAGTTTTGTCCTGCTTTGGTCTTGGTTTAGTCCCAATTTATTCCTAGTTTAGTCTGGTTTAATCCCAGTTTAGTCCTGGTTTGGTTCTAGTTTGATCCTAGTTTAAATCCAGTTTAGTTCCAGTTTAGTCCTGTTTTAGTCCTGGTTCAGTCCTAGTTAAATTCTGGTTTAGTCTTTAGTACACAGACGATCTAAACCCTTTTCGTTGAGTTCATTTAATCTAAACGTATTTTTGTAAACATTTTGTAAACTTCATAAAAACGTGTTTATGAGCCGCACAAACCTCCAGTGTGTGAGAGGTCAGAGGGCGCGACCCCGCTTTGACCCTGAAGATCAAGTTTGAGTTATTTTTAAGTCGGGTTTAGTTTTACACTTTGACAGGTTCAGTCAGACTAACGAGAAGCCAAGACCGTTTCACCAGGACGAACCGGTCGACGTCTCAGAGCAGAATCTCAGACAACAATTATAATTTAAAAAAAAAACTCTTTAATTGGACAAGAGAATGTGATTTTTATTTTTATATTTTTCTTTAGCTTTGATACTAGTTTTAGAATTTTAGTATTTAATAATAGTCCCGATTGAGTCCTCGTTCAGTCTTGGTTCAGTCTTGGTTTTGTCCTGGTTCAGTCTTAGTTTAGTCCTGGTTCAGTGCTGGTTCAGTCCGGTTTTAGTCATGGTTTAAACCTGGTTTAGTCCTGGTTCAGTCCGGTTTTAGTCCTGGTTCAGTCTTGATTTAGTCCTGGTTGAGTCTTGATTTAGTCCTGGTTTTAGTCCTGGTTTAGACCTGTTTCAGTCTTGGTTTAGTCCTGGGTTTGTCCTGGTTCAGTCTTGATTTAGTCCTGGTTGAGTCTTGGTTTAGTCCTGGTTCAGTGTTGGTTTAGTCCTGGCTGAGTCTTGATTTAGTCCTGGTTTTAGTCCTGGTTTAGTCCTGGTTCAGTCTTGATTTAGTCCTGGTTTAGTCTTGGTTTAGTCCTGCTTCAGTTCGGGTTTAGTCCTGGCTGAGTCTTGATTTAGTCCTGGTTTTAGTCCTGGTTTACTCCTGGTTTAGACCTGTTTCAGTCTTGGTTTAGTCCTGGGTTTGTCCTGGTTCAGTCTTGATTTAGTCCTGGTTGAGTCTTGGTTTAGTCCTGGTTCAGTGTTGGTTTAGTCCTGGCTGAGTCTTGATTTAGTCCTGGTTTTAGTCCTGGTTTAGACCTGTTTCAGTCTTGGTTTAGTCCTGGGTTTGTCCTGGTTCAGTCTTGGTTTATTCCTGGTTTACTCCTTGTTGAGTCTTGATTTAGTCCTGGTTTAGTCCTGGTTCAGTCTTGATTCAGTCCTAGTTCAGTCTGGGTTTAGTCCTGGTTTAGTCTTGGTTTAGTCCTGCTTCAGTTCGGGTTTAGTTCTGGTTCAGTACGGTTGTAGTCCTGGTTCAGTATTGGTTTAGTCCTGGTTCAGTTCGACTTTAGTCCTGGTTCAGTTCAAGTTTAGTCCTGGTTCAGACCGTGTTAGATTCTGTCTGGTCCAGGACATACCTGAGTCTCATGTTGAGACCTGCCCCACATAAACCCTCCAGGTGTGTCCTCTCACTTTTACACAGAACTAAACCAGGACTAAGCAGAACTAAACCAGGACTAAACCAGGACTAAAGCAGGACTAAAGCAGGACTAGACCAGGACTAGACCAGGACTAAACCAGGACTAGACCAGGACTAAACCAAGTCTAAACCAAGTCTAAATCGAGTCTAAACCAGGATTAAACCAGGATTAAACCAGGACTAAAGCAGGTCTAAATCAGGACTTAACCCGGTCTAAACCCTCTTTAGACCTGGTGTTACATAACAGAGTCGTGTTTGGATGTTTCTATAAACTCTGAGTCACAACAAACCACAGCTGCTCCACATCAGGACTCATCTGCAGTCCGGCTATGATCCTGGTCTAACCCTGGTCTCTTTGGGACTTCTGCAGTCCGGCTATGATCCTGATCAAACCCTGGTCTCTTTGGGACTTCTGTAGTCCGGTTATGATCCTGATCTAACCCTGATTTATGTCCTGGTTTCAGATCTGTAGAGTCTTTTTAGGTCTAAATCAGCTGGATTTCAGCGTTGAACTTGAAGACCCCGACGAGAGTCATGTGACGCTCACTCTGCGTTCTGATTGGACCAAACAACAAAACAAAACACCAAATTAGAACTAAATAAATGAGAATCAGGTCCAATGTTTTTGTAATTAAAAATAAATCAGAATTATAATTATTATCAGAAATTAATCTTCATAAAATACAGTTTTTTGTTTTTTTGTTTGTTTTGACTAACCCTGTTTTTTGGGTCTTTCAGAGATGTAGTCCGGTTGTGATCCTGGTCTAACCCTGTTTTTTGGATGTTTTGGGTCTTTCAGAGATGTAGTCCAGTTGTGATCCTAATCTAACCCTGTTTTTTTAAGAGATGTAGTCTGGTTGTGATCCTGGTCTAACCCTGTTTTTTTGGGATCTTTTGGGTCTTTCAGAGATGTAGTCCGGTTGTGATCCTGGTCTGACCCCGTTTTTTTGGGTCTTTTAGAGGTGTAGTCCGGTTGTGATCCTGGTCTAACCCTGTTTGTTGGATGTTTTGGGTCTTTCAGAGATGTAGTCCGGTTGTGATCCTGGTCTAACCCTGTTTTTTTGGGTCTTTTAGAGATGTAGTCCAGTTGTGATCCTCGTCTAGCCCTGTTTTTTTAAGAGATGTAGTCTGGTTGTGATCCTGGTCTAACCCTGTTTTTGGGTCCTTCAGAGATCTAGTCCGGTCTTGATCCTGGTCTACCCCTGTTTTTTTGGATCTTTTGGGTCTTTCAGAGATGTAGTCCGGTTGTGATCCTGGTCTAACCCTGCTTTTTGTGTATTTCAGAGATGTAGTCCGGTTATGATCCTGGTGTAATCCTGTTTTTTGGATCTTTTGTGTGTTTCAGAGATGTAGTCTGGTTGTGATTCTGATGTAACCAATTTTATTATTTTTTTTGGATCTATTGTGTGTTTCAGAGATGTAGTCCGGTTCTGATCCTGGTCTAACCCTGCTTTTTGTGTGTTTCAGAGATGTAGTCTGGTTGTGATCCTGGTCTAACCCTGCTTTTTGTGTGTTTCAGAGATGTAGTCTGGTTGTGATCCTGGTCTAACCCTGCTTTTTGGGTCTTTCAGAGATGTAGTCCAGTTGTAATCCTCGTCTAGCCCTGTTTTTTTAAGAGATGTAGTCTGGTTGTGATCCTGGTCTAACCCTGTTTTTGGGTCCTTCAGAGATCTAGTCCGGTCTTGATCCTGGTCTACCCCTGTTTTTTTGGATCTTTTGGGTCTTTCAGAGATGTAGTCCGGTTATGATCCTGGTGTAATCCTGTTTTTTGGATCTTTTGTGTGTTTCAGAGATGTAGTCTGGTTGTGATTCTGATGTAACCAATTTTATTATTTTTTTTTGGATCTATTGTGTGTTTCAGAGATGTAGTCTGGTTGTGATTCTGGTCTAACCCTGCTTTTTGTGTATTTCAGAGATGTAGTCCGGTTATGATCCTGGTGTAATCCTGTTTTTTGGATCTTTTGTGCGTTTCAGAGATGTAGTCTGGTTGTGATTCTGATGTAACCAATTTTTATTTTTTTTTTGGATCTTTTTGTGTGTTTCAGAGATGTAGTCTGGTTGTGATCCTGGTCTAACCCTGCTTTTTGTGTATTTCAGAGATGTAGTCCGGTTATGATCCTGGTGTAATCCTGTTTTTTGGATCTTTTGTGTGTTTCAGAGATGTAGTCCGGTTGTGATCCTGGTGTAATCCTGTTTTTTGGATCTTTTGTGTGTTTCAGAGATGTAGTCCGGTTGTGATCCTGGTCTTGCTGGAGAACCATGCTCCTGTGTGTGCTGCTCTTCTTCACTGCTGCAGCCTCTGGACAGATCGACCCAAGTAAACACAGATTCACTTCATTTTGCGCCAATTAAATATGGATTTTAGGACTTTCTAAACTGACGCTAACTGGAGGCACTGCTCTGTCTGAAACTCTGTTACTCAAATTAGACTTTAACTTGATCTCTGGACATAAAGAACTGATTTATCTGGATGTGCTCTTGAAATCCATTCTGTATTTTTTATTGAGACCATTTAAAAATGTTTTCTGTGCGTTGTGTCTCCATGGTAACTGCTGAACATATCACCATAGACATGCACGTACACCCTCCAGCGCGCCGTCACTGCAAAGTATCAAGAGATTTGGTTTATGTTCTGGCTTTTATAATTCTACGGGAGATTCAGTTTTTGAGAGAAATTTCCAAATTCATGATCCAGAAATGTTTCTCCTTCTCATTATTTGTTTGGAATCGGCTCCACAAACATGTCACATTCATCTCAAGTTTATTTACAATGACAGAAAACATTGAACTTTGTTTCAGTAATTACAGATGCCACGTTTACATGAGAGCTTTAATTCCGAATAAAAATGAATTCCACTTTAAAAAGAGCATGTAAACACTTCCTAATAAAAATGATTATTCGGAAATAAACTTAATTCCAAAGTAAGTGAGTGGTTTATTCCGATTTTAAAGCCGAATTAATATATTCCTCGATCACGTAAATGTTTATTCTTCTTAAAAATAATTCCGGTCGTTCAGCACATGCTCACTGGGTCGCCCTTCTGACACGATTCCAGACGATACGGCTCCATCAGTCCTGGCTTCGGATTTTCATCCACGTCTCTTTGGATTTGCGAGCGGGATGTGGTAGTGGGCTGAGGTGGAGCAGCCTCACACTCAGTTTGTCTTCTTCCTCCCTTTTCCGACACTCGATGCGTGATGAGAGAATTCTCCAGCTGCTGCGCAGTTATCATCGGCATCACTGCGGAAAAAGTTTAGATCGTGTTTGTGTCCGTGGCGTAACGACAAACTGAGATGACAGAAAAGCCGGTAGCAGCTGAAGTCTGTGTTTTCTTCCGGTCGACGTAAATACGTTCGTGTCTCTGTCCGATCAGAACCTTCCCCACCCCCAGACGCTGAACGGAATTAAATAAAGACTATTTAACATGTTTTCCATTTAAACCTCAAATTAGAATTATTATTTCCATGTAATTGGGAAGAATATTTTTATTCCAAACTATTTAATTCAGAACAATTCATTCAGAATTTAAAAACATCATGTAAACGTGGCAGAGTTATGAACACGTCTGTAATCTGACAGTTCCACAGCAAACTCCACCTCAGAGTTCTGACCTGTCTCCGCTCTATGAACTCTACTACATTACCCATAATTCTCTCTGTTTGACTACATTTCCCATGATGCCGTGTGTCAGGTCTGTGCAGGTACGCTCTGGGTTTGGAGGATGGACGAATCAGAAACGAGGCCCTGAGCGCCTCCAGCCAATGGCATTTCACCACTGGACCTCAGTACGCCAGGTACACAACAACACAACACAACACAACACAATACACCTGTACACAACACAACACAACACAATACACCTGTACACAACACACAACACAACAACACAATACACCTGTACACAACACGACACAATACACCTGTACACAACACAACACAATACACCTGTACACAACACAACACAAACACAATACACCTGTACAACACAACACAACACAATACACCTGTACACAACACACAACACAACACAATACACCTGTACACAACACAACACGACACAACACACCTGTACACAACACAACACAACAAGACTCAACACAACAAGACACAACACAACACGACACAATACACCTGTACACACACAACACAACACAACACAATACACCTGAACACAACACAACACAATACACCTGAACACAACACAACACGACACAATACACCTGTACACAACACGACACAACACACCTGTACACAACACAACACAATACACCTGTACACAACACAACACAACACAATACACCTGAACACAACACAACACAATACACCTGAACACAACACGACACAATACACCTGAACACAACAGACACAAATACACCTGTACACAACACGACACAACACACCTGTACACAACACAACACAACACAACACAATACACCTGAACACAACACAACACAATACAACACAACACAATACACTGAACACAACACACACAATACACCTGAACACAACACGACACAATACACCTGAACACAACACGACACAATACACCTGTACACAACACAACACAATACACCTGTACACAACACAACACAACACAACACAATACACCTGAACACAACACAACACAATACACCTGAACACAACACACACAATACACCTGTACACAACACGACACAATACACCTGTACACAACACAACACAATACACCTGTACACAACACAACACAACACACCTGTACACAACACAACACAATACACCTGTACACAACACAACACAACAAGACTCAACACAACAAGACACAACAGAACACGACACAATACACCTGTACACAACACAACACAATACACCTGTACACAACACGACACAATACACCTGTACACAACACAACACAATACACCTGTACACAACACAACACAATACACCTGAACACAACACAACACAATACACCTGTACACAACACAACACAATACACCTGTACACAACACAACACAATACACCTGTACACAACACAACACGATACACCTGTACACAACACAACACGACACAGTACACCTGTACACAACACAACACACCTGTTCACTTTTATGATGACTCTATTTAAAGGGCCAGTACTTGATTTTTCTCGTGTATTTGAGTAAATGTGTTGCTCCAGTACAGTGTTTGTATCTTGTATAAGCAGCTGCTGAGGTCAAAACAAGTGCACTGTGTCTGTCTGTATCTAATATAAAGAGTTTTATTGTCTGATAATTAGGAACTGCACTGTTAGTATGCTAGTTGCTCATTAGCTTTACTGTTCGGTTTTATAAGATCGACTTTTCATCGACCACAAAAAGATAAATGCTCAAATGAAAATGAATAAGAAGTGGGACTAAACTAGGACTCAACCAAAACTTGGTTTTGGTCCCAGACCAGACGGTTTGAGCAGCACATGTGAGGAATCAAACTGCACCAACTGGAGGGACACTGTGTATTTGTTTTTTTTCATTCTGGAGAGCTCCTCAAGATGCATCATCTCTTTTTCTCTCTGTAGGATTTCTGATAAATGTTTTTAAGTACAAAACAGCATCAAAACAGTGTTGAACTGTAGCTCACCTGGATGACCTCTGCATGACCTCTGCATGACCTCTGTATCTCTCTTCAGGCTGAACCGTGAGGAGGGGGATGGAGCCTGGTGTCCTCAGGTGGCCTCTGACTCCCAGTACCTACAGGTCAGTCACATGACTCTGGTCACATGACTCTGGTCACATGACTCTGGTCACATGACTCTGGTCACATGACTCTGGTCACATGTGGTGTGGCAGAGTGGTTAACAGTAATAGAGCTTCACAATTATTCTTCATTCACGCCACACTCAGTGAGATTCTACTGTAGCCACAGCTGCCCTGGGACAGACTGATGGAAGTGAGGCTGCCAGTCTGAACCATCTGCTCCTTTCACCACCAACACTCACACCACATTCATCCTAGGCAGTGTCTTGCCTAATGACACATCAACAGTTTGCACTAGACCCACCTGATATTCTCTGCTTAGCAAAACAGACGAGACCAGATCAGGTGTAGAGGACAGTTTACATCTTAGATATCTTACATAATATATTATATTAATTAGTTTATATTATATTATTTAATTGTAAGCATTTATATGTAAGAGTCTGGGCCATAGACTGTTGTGTTTTAAAGGTGGACCTGGGCACACTGACTCTTGTGTTTTTAAGGTGGACCTGGGCACACTGACTCTTGTGTTTTTAAGGTGGACCTGGGCACACTGACTCTTGTGTTTTTAAGGTGGACCTGGGCACACTGACTCTTGTGTTTTTAAGGTGGACCTGGGCCGGCTGACGTTCCTCACGGTGGTGGGCACTCAGGGACGATACGCTCACAACTCTGGGAATGAGTTTGCCCGAGCATACCGCCTTAACTACAGCCGAGACGGGGTCCTGTGGAAGTCCTGGAGGAACCGCCAGGGAAACACGGTAAAACTAGGACTGAACCAGGATTGAACGAGGACTAAACCAGGACTAAACCTTGACTACATTGGGACTGAACCGGGATTAAGCCAGGACTAAATTAAGGACTGACCCAAGACCAAACCAGGACTGAACCAGGACAGAACCAGGACTGACCCAGAACTTAACCAGGACTGAACCAGGACTGAACCAAGGACTAAACTAGGACTGAACCAGGACTAAACGAAGGACTGACGTAGGACTAAACCAGGACTGAACAAGAACAAAAGCAGGGCAGAATATGATTTCTTTAACAACTGTTTGCTGCACGAACTCAGAAAGAGACGGAAATGTAAACAATGCAGAGAGTTAAATGACAGGAAGTGACATCAGTGACACTTCCTGTCTGTTGACCTTTGAGTAAGACGCAACACAATGAAGCTGGGAGGGTATCAGACACACAGGGATACAGGAGTACGGGAGGGCATCTGTGTTGATTTGCTTTCACAAACGAGTGCACCTCTGTGTTTCATGACCTGATAGAGGAGCATGGAGTAAGAAAGCTTTCAGGAATATTTGTGTGCATAGGATAGAAATCCGTGCATATTTGTCTGTAGTTGAGCATAAAATAAATATTCGTAAACTCTCGATTGAGTCCAGTCGTACAGAAAATGTGTTGTGTGTATTTTATCCATCAGAATACGAATTGAAAAGTTACGACATCAAGAAATGCAATCACGAAAAGGAAATTTACGATTACGCTTTCTTCAGTACTGATTTATAGTCCTGAATTCCTTTAGTCCTGGTTCAGTCCTGATTTAGTCCTGGTTAGTCCTGGTTTAGTCCTGGTTTAGTCCAGTCCTGGTTCAGTCCTGATTTAGTCCTGGTTTAGTCCTGGTTCAGTCCTGATTTAGTCCTGGTCAGTTGATTTAGTCCTGGTTTAGTCCTGGTTCAGTCCTGATTTAGTCCTGGTTTAGTCCTGGTTTAGTCCTGGTTCAGTCCTGATTTATTCCTGGTTTAGTCCTGGTTCAGTCCATATGTGGCGCAAAAGTCCGGCATCTCGATCAATGTTTCTTCTGCCAAGTGACGACAAATTTTTGACAGTCGAGTCACGTCTTTGAATTCATATTCTTACCGAAGAAAGCATAATAGTACATTTTCATTCTGTGATTGTAATTCTTGATGATGTAACTTTTCAATTCATATTCTGACGGATAAAATACACACAACACATTTTACGCACGACTGGACTCAATCGAGAGTTTACAAATATTTATTTTGTGCTCAACTACAGACAAATATGCACAGATTTCTATCCTATGCACACAAATATTTCTGAAAGCTTTTTTACTCCATAGAGGAGACTGGCAGGGGATCAGGTATAATTGCCTGTACGTGGGGGGAGGGCATCAGGTGTAACTGTATGATGTGTTTCTTCAGGTTCTCGAGGGGAACACAAACGCGTACGCCTCCGTCCTGAACGACCTCCACCCTCCTGTGATCACGCGCTTCGTCCGAGTTCTGCCTGTGCCCAAACTCTCCTCCACCGTCTGCATGAGACTCGAGCTGTACGGCTGCAACTGGGAAGGTACAAGGACGAGGAGCACGAGGAGGAGTGAATGTAGTAGTAATAGTAGTAGTGATGGTACTAGTAGTAATAGTAGTAGTGATGGTACTAGTAGGAATAGTAGTAGTGATGGTACTAGTAGGAATAGTAGTAGTGATGGTACTAGTAGGAATAGTAGTAGTGATGGTACTAGTAGTAATAGTAGTAGTGACGGTACTAGTAGTAATAGTAGTAGTGATGGTACTAGTAGTAATAGTAGTAGTGACGGTACTAGTAGTAATAGTAGTAGTGATGGTACTAGTAGTAATAGTAGTAGTGATGGTACTAGTAGTAATAGTAGTAGTGACGGTACTAGTAGTAATAGTAGTAGTGATGGTACTAGTAGGAATAGTAGTAGTGATGGTACTAGTAGGAATAGTAGTAGTGATGGTACTAGTAGGAATAGTAGTAGTAGGACTAGTAGGAATAGTAGTAGTGACGGTACTAGTAGGAATAGTAGTAGTGACGGTACTAGTAGCAATAGTAGTAGTGACGGTACTAGTAGGTAGTAGTAGTAGTAGTAGTAGTAGTGTGGTACTAGTAGGATAGTAGTAGTGATGGTACTAGTAGGAATAGTAGTAGTGATGGTACTAGTAGTAATAGTAGTAGTGACGGTACTAGTAGTAATAGTAGTAGTGATGGTACTAGTAGTAATAGTAGTAGTGACGGTACTAGTAGTAATAGTAGTAGTGACGGTACTAGTAGTAATAGTAGTAGTGATGGTACTAGTAGTAATAGTAGTAGTGACGGTACTAGTAGTAATAGTGGCGGTAGTGGTAGTGGTATAGGTAGTGGTAATAGTAGTAGTACTAATAGTAGTAGTAGTAGTAGTGGCAGTGGTAATAGTAGTAGTGTACTAGCAGTAGTAGTGGTAGAAGTAATACTAGAAGTGGTAGTAGTGGTAGTAGTAGTATTTTGAGTTGTAATATTTTTAGGTTCTACTGTAGTAGTAGTAGCAATAGCGGTGGTAGTGGTAGTAGTAGTAGTGGTAGTAGTAGCAGTAGTAGTAGTAGTAGTAGTAGTAGTAGTAGTAGCAGTAGTAGTAGTAGTAGTAGTAGTAGTAGTGGTAGTGGTAGTAGTAGTAGTAGTAGTAGTAGTAGTAGTGGTAGTGGTAGTAGTAGTAGTAGTAGTAGTAGTAGTAGTAGTAGTAGCAGTAGTAGGTAGTAGTAGTAGTAGTAGTAGTAGTAGTAGTAGGTAGTAGTAGTAGTAGTAGTAGTAGTAGTAGTAGTAGTAGTAGTAGTAGTGGTAGTGTAGTAGTAGTAGTAGTAGTGGTAGTAGTAGTAGTAGTAGTAGTAGTAGTAGTAGTAGTAGTAGTGGTAGTAGTAGTAGTAGTAGTAGTAGTAGTAGTAGTAGTAGTGGTAGTAGTGGTAGTAGTAGTAGTAGTGGTAGTAGTAGTAGTAGTAGTGGTAGTAGTAGTAGTAGTAGTAGTAGTAGTAGCAGTAGTAGTAGTAGTAGTAGTGGTAGTAGTAGTAGTGGTAGTAGTAGTAGCAGTAGTATTTTTAGTTGTAATATTTTTAGGTTCTAGTGTAGTAGTAGTAGTAGCAGTAGTAGTGGTAGTAGTTGTAGTATTTTTGTAGTATAAGTATCAGCCAAATACAAAAAGACTTTTCTGGGTCATTTAGATTTAGACAAACTTTGTTGATCTACAAAGGAAATGACTTATGTGTATGTTAATAAACGTCTAAATAAGCAGCAACAATAAACCAGTGGTGTATTCCCATGTGTTTATAGTTCATTTGTTTGTGTGTATTGTTGTAGTATTGAAACACTTGTGTACACTTGTGTTTCAGACGGTCTGGTGTCGTACTCGGCTCCAGAGGGACACTTCATGACTCCTCCTGGTCTCCCTGTCGTCAGCCTCAACGACTCCACCTACGACGGCTCCAGACTCAGAGGGCACGTACACTTTCACTCGCTTTATAACGCAGCAATTTCAGAATAACAATAAGAACAACAATGGGCCTTACTCATGAGTTTTTACTTTAAAGGTTGTATGGAGGATTTTTTTGTTTTTTTTTTGTTTCAAGTTGTCAATGATAGATTATACAGATGCAGTCGCCTTGTAATTATGATGACCAAAAAAAAGAGAATAAAAATTCATCAACTCTGGACGTGGTGGGGCTAAACATTTGCCAATAGATAACGACACTGCCTCGTTATCTGTGAGCTGACAGGCTGTCAATCAAACTCCCTACGTTTCTAGCGTAACTGACTTGCCTGCGCCGCCGGTACGTGGTTTACGTACGACTGTCACACAGTCCACAGACGCAAGCCGCACAGACGCTGTTTACTCCACCAACGCAACAGTTCTTAGCGGCTTTTTTTGACCTATATCTTCCTCGCAGTTCGCACAAAGTTTGTTGCAATGGCGACAAGAATCCAGGAGCAGTTCACCGCAAAAGAAAGTCCGTTTTTGAGGTCGCTGAAAGAAGAAGACAAGAGGAAAAGCAGCGACGCCAAACTAAGGTGATTCTTGGAGATTCATTCCAGCGATGGCGCGACTGAAGCAGACGCAGGGTCTAAAGACTGAAGCACTGGTCCACAAATTACTCCTGGACAGGTCACTTCTGCTTATTATGAAAATGTACTTTATTTCCAAGAGCTAGTCAAACGTTTTTCAGGACACGAAAGCGATATCCTATGTCTGAAAACGTAATTTTCAAGGCAAAGAAAGAGTCCGCTTGCTGCTGCGTGTTGTAGTTAGTTCATTCGCACTGAATCTCCGCGCAACCTTCTCTGCACCGCTTTCCTGCTCCTCTCCCCGCTGCCCGATCCGCTCTTCCCCCTGCTCCTCACTTCTCCAGGCACGAAATGTCCGCGCACCCGCTCCCCCGCTCCTCACTTCTCCGTCTTGCCTAACCAACACTGTAGTTAGTTGTTTACAAGTCATGTGCAGTTCACCGGCTGTAAACAAACCTGTTTCTGGCGTAAGGAGGAGGAGGGAGGAGGTGTTTCTACGTAGGAGCTGTAGGGGAGGGGAGGTGGTTTCACGCATGCGCAACATTTGAAAAAGGACAAACAGTCGCTGGATTTCTCGTTCCTTGGAAAATCCTCTATACAACCTTTAAAAAAATTCCGTAACTTCCACTTACCAGAGTAATAATATTCTAAAACACTAGAATTTTTGTTCTTACGAGTGCTCCTGACTGTTCGCAGGATTTGTTCTTCCAGAAGAACATTTTTAGTTCAGAAAAGGTTTTGTAAATGCCAAAAATGTTCGTAAGAAGGCCTTAAGTGCAAATTTGTTCATAAGAATATTTCATGAATGAGGCCCATTGCTTTTAGTCCTTTAGTGTAGTTTTTCCAGACGCTCAAAGTATAAAAGGTGCACTCTTCATTCACTCCACACTCAGTGATGTCACAAGGTTCTGGTACTCCAAACCGTCATTCAAGGAATCTGGGTTTCCAAATTTGTTCCCCTTACGGACTTCTTGATAGCCTGATTCATCAGCCGGTTTCACTTTGTTTCACTTCGTAGAAACCGTCTGACCTCGCAACATTAGGATTCGTTCGCAGGACGGTAGGCGGGTACTTTTTATCATTTAACCAGTCGCTTCTATTTGGTTGTGACGTATGTAATGCACCGCTAATGGGACTAACTGGTATTTTAAGCTTTTCCCAAATCCCGTAGGAAGAAGGACAATAACATCTTTCCCCTTGATGAAATTCACTAAACATTCTCTTGTTCTGGCTTTAAATTCTCGATCTCAGGAATCGTTGACAACACTGAATATATGTCCCTTCGTTGATTGGCTGGTGCCCAATTTCGCACTTCCAGGGTTTTTGCGAACCGTCTAGTGTTTTCTGATTCCTGACCTAGTCGCTGGAGAGAAATGAAATTGAGTGGAGGCACTAGGTGGCACCAGCCTGGCTATGTGCTCGCACCCAGTCACCCAGAATTGTGCAGCCTTCAATGCAAAATTTGGAAAAACTTCATTAAACAAATTTGGACTTGGTACCGAAAATGTAAAGAGGAAGGCTGATTATGCATTACGCTAAAGAATCTAGTACGGCAATTCATTCGAGGAATCTGGGTTTCCAAATTTGTTCTCCTTACGGACTTCTTGGGGTTTTTCACAAACTTGCTCGACCTTCTCTTCTGATGTTGATGTTGGTACCAGATCCTTTAGTCCTGCATAATCAGCCAAACTCTTTACATTTTTGGTACCAAGTCCAAATTGGTTTGCCAAATTTAGCATTTTTGTTTTATCTATGACTGTGTGCGAGCAGATTCCAACATGCAAAATGATTGAAGTGATTGGAGTGAACGGCTCAACATGAAACATGAACAAATATAAAACATTAAATATAAAATCTTGATCTGTTTCTGTACATTCTGTGAAAATTTGAGGTTATCTCAACAAGAATTGCCAAAATTATTAGCCTGCAAAATTTTATCAAATTTTTTGGGACACCCTGTATTTAATAATAGTAAAAATATCTCTAACAGTAATAATAGTTTGTGTTGTTAAAGTTTTGCGTTGTGTGTTTTTTAAAGTTTTGCGTTGTGTTTTTTAAAGTTTTGTGTTGTGTTTTTTAAAGTTTTGCGTTGTGTTTTTTAAAGTTTTGCGTTGTGTGTTTTTTAAAGTTTTGCGTTGTGTGTTTTTTAAAGTTTTGCGTTGTGTGTTTTTTAAAGTTTTGCGTTGTGTGTTTTTTAAAGTTTTGCGTTGTGTTTTTAAAGTTTTGCGTTGTGTGTTTTTTAAAGTTTTGCGTTGTGTTTTTTAAAGTTTTGCGTTTTAAAGTTGTGTGTTTTTAAAGTTTTGCGTTGTGTGTGTGTTTTTTAAAGTTTTGCGTTGTGTGTTTTTTAAAGTTTTGCGTTGTGTTTTTTTAAAGTTTTGCGTTGTGTGTTTTTTAAAGTTTTTGCGTTGTGTTTTTTAAAGTTTTGCGTTGTGTTTTTTAAAGTTTTGCGTTGTGTTTTTTAAAGTTTTTTTGCGTTGTGTGTTTTTAAAGTTTTTGCGTTGTGTGTTTTTAAAGTTTTGCGTTGTGTGTTTTTAAAGTTTTGCGTTGTGTGTTTTTAAAGTTTTTGCGTTTTGTGTTTTTTTAAGTTTTGCGTTGTGTTTTTAAAGTTTGCGTTGTGTGTTTTTTAAAGTTTGCGTTGTGTGTTTTTAAAGTTTTGCATTGTGTGTTTTTAAAGTTTTGCGTTGTGTGTTTTTAAAGTTTTTGCGTTTTGTTGTGTTTTTTAAAGTTTTGCGTTGTGTGTTTTTAAAGTTTTGCGTTGTGTGTTTTTTAAAGTTTTGCGTTGTGTTTTTAAGTTTTGCGTTGTGTTTTTTAAAGTTTTGCGTTGTGTGTTTTTTTAAAGTTTGCGTTGTGTTTTTAAAGTTTTGCGTTGTGTGTTTTTAAAGTTTTGCGTTGTGTGTTTTTTAAAGTTTTGCGTTGTGTTTTTTAAAGTTTTGCGTTGTGTTTTTTAAAGTTTTGCGTTTGTGTTTTTTAAAGTTTTGCGTTGTGTTTTTTAAAGTTTTGCGTTGTGTGTTTTTTAAAGTTTTGCGTTGTTTTTTAAAGTTTTGCGTTGTGTGTTTTTAAAGTTTTTGCGTTGTGTTTTTTAAAGTTTTGCGTTGTGTGTTTTTAAAGTTTTGCGTTGTGTGTTTTTTAAAGTTTTGCGTTGTGTGTTTTTTAAAGTTTTGCGTTGTGTGTTTTTTAAAGTTTTGCGTTGTGTGTTTTTAAAGTTTTGCGTTGTGTGTTTTTTAAAGTTTTGCGTTGTGTGTTTTAAAGTTTTGCGTTGTGTTTTTTTAAAGTTTTGCGTTTGTGTTGTTTTTAAAAGTTTTGCGTTGTGTGTTTTTTTAAAGTTTTGCGTTGTGTTTTTTTAAAGTTTTGCGTTGTGTGTTTTTAAAGTTTTGCGTTGTGTGTTTTTAAAGTTTTTTGCGTTGTGTGTTTTTTTAAAGTTTTGCGTTGTGTGTTTTTAAAGTTTTGCGTTGTTGTGTGTTTTTTAAAGTTTTGCGTTGTGTTTTTTAAAGTTTTGCGTTGTGTGTTTTTTAAAGTTTTGCGTTGTGTGTTTTTAAAGTTTTGCGTTGTGTTTTTTAAAGTTTTGCGTTGTGTGTTTTTAAAGTTTTGCGTTGTGTGTTTTTTAAAGTTTTGCGTTGTGTGTTTTTTAAAGTTTTGCGTTGTGTGTTTTTAAAGTTTTGCGTTGTGTGTTTTTTTAAAGTTTTGCGTTGTGTGTTTTTAAAAGTTTTGCGTTGTGTGTTTTTTAAAGTTTGCGTTTGTGTTTTTTTAAAGTTTTGCGTTGTGTGTTTTTAAAGTTTTGCGTTGTTGTTTTTTTAAAGTTTTGCGTTGTGTTTTTTAAAGTTTTGCGTTGTGTGTTTTTTAAAGTTTTTAAAGTTTTGCGTTGTGTTTTTAAAGTTTTGCGTTGTGTGTTTTTTAAAGTTTTGCGTTGTGTTTTAAATTTTGTTGTGTGTTTTTAAAGTTTTTGCGTTGTGTTTTTTTAAGTTTTGCGTTGTGTGTTTTTTTAAAGTTTTGCGTTGTGTGTTTTTTAAAGTTTTGCGTTGTGTGTTTTTTAAAATTTTGTGTTGTGTGTTTTTTAAAGTTTTGCGTTGTGTGTTTTTTAAAGTTTTGCGTTGTGTGTTTTTTAAAGTTTTGCGTTGTGTTTTTTTAAAGTTTTGCGTTGTGTGTTTTTTAAAGTTTTGCGTTGTGTTTTTTAAAAGTTTTGCGTTGTGTGTTTTTTAAAGTTTTGCGTTGTGTTTTTTAAAGTTTTGCGTTGTGTGTTTTTTAAAGTTTTGCGTTGTGTGTTTTTAAAGTTTTGCGTTGTGTGTTTTTTAAAGTTTTGCGTTGTGTGTTTTTAAAAGTTTTGCGTTGTGTTTTTTTTAAAGTTTTGCGTTGTGTGTTTTTAAAGTTTTGCGTTTGTGTTTTTAAAGTTTTGCAAAGTTGTGTGTTTTTTAAAGTTTTGCTTGTGTGTTTTAAGTTTTTGCTGTTTTTAAAGTTTTGTTTTGTTGTGTTTTTTAAAGTTTTGCGTTGTGTGTTTTTAAAGTTTTGTGTGTTTTTAAAGTTTTGCGTTGTGTGTTTTGAAAGTTTTGTGTTTTTTTAAAGTTTTGCGTTGTGTGTTTTGAAAGTTTTGTGTTGTTTTTTAAAGTTTTGCGTTTGTGTGTTTTTTAAAGTTTTGCGTGTGTTTTTTAAAGTTTTGCGTTGTGTGTTTTTAAAGTTTTTGCGTTTGTGTTTTTTAAAGTTTTGCGTTGTGTGTTTTTTAAAGTTTTGCGTTGTGTGTTTTTAAAGTTTTGCGTTGTGTGTTTTTTAAAGTTTTGCGTTGTGTGTTTTTTAAAGTTTTGCGTTGTGTTTTTTAAAGTTTGTTGTGTGTTTTAAAGTTTTGCGTTGTTGTTTTAAAGTTTTGTTTTAAATTTGTGTGTGTTTTTTAAAGTTTGCGTTTTTGTGTTTTGAAAGTTTTGTGTGTTTTTTAAGTTTTGCGTTGTGTGTTTTAAAGTTTTGCGTTGTGTGTTTTGAAAGTTTTGTGTGTTTTTGAAAGTTTTGTGTGTTTTTTAAAGTTTTGCGTTGTGTGTTTTAAAGTTTTGCGTTTGTGTGTTTGAAAGTTTTGTGTGTTTTTTAAAGTTTTGCGTTGTGTGTTTTAAAGTTTTGCGTTGTGTGTTTTGAAAGTTTTGTGTGTTTTTTAAAGTTTTGCGTTGTGTGTTTTAAAGTTTTGCGTTGTGTGTTTTGAAAGTTTTGTGTGTTTTTAAAGTTTTGCGTTGTGTGTTTTTTAAAGTTTTGCGTTGTGTGTTTTTAAAGTTTTGCGTTGTGTGTTTTTAAAGTTTTGCGTTGTGTGTTTTTAAAGTTTTGCGTTGTGTGTGTTGTGTGTTCAGGCGGTGGGTCGGGGGCCTAGGGCAGCTGACCGATGGAGTGACCGGTCTGGACGACTTCCTGTCCACGCGGCAGTACCAGGTCCGGCCCGGGTACGACTACATGGGCTGGAAAAACCAAAGCCTCAGCCACGTGAGCATCGAGTTCACCTTCGACAGGACCAGAAACTTCACCCACATGAAGGTAAGACGGGAGCAGACAGGAGCAGACAGGGGCAGGCAGGGCAGACAGGGCAGGCAGGAGGCAGGAGGACAGAGCAGGAGCAGGCAGGAGCAGCAGGAGCAGGCAGGGCAGACAGGAGCAGGCAGGAGGCAGCAGCAGGAGCAGACGGGAGCAGACAGGAGCAGGCAGGAGCAGACAGGAGCAGCAGCAGGGGCAGGGGCAGACAGAGCAGCAGGAGCAGACAGGAGCAGGGGCAGACAGGAGCAGACAGGGCAGCAGGGCAGACAGGGCAGACAGAAAACACGTTTTTTAGTCCTGGTTCAGTCTTGGTTTAGTCCTGGTCTAGTCCTTCTGCAGTTCAGGGGTATATTCCACCAAAGTGTCTTAAAAAATCCAGGCTTATCTGAAATCCTGAGCTGAATCTAGTTCCATCTCCAGTTTAGGCCTCAACTCATTCCATGACAGAAATAACCCTGAGTCGAACCAAAGTTAACACAGGCCTGAGGTTTGAAGCTGCACTTTGTGTTTACAGTGATTCTGAGAAGACCAGAGCAATGGCTCCTCTAATGTTCTCCTGCTCCTCTCCCGGTCGCTCTGTGGACAGAGAGGAGACTGTGGAGTGCAGAGTCTGGTTAATACGTCCGGGGAGTGAAGTTGCCTGTCCCCTTCCCAAATGCGGTCGTACGTGTGGAGCTTAAGTTCCGCTGTGTGTAAAAGTGAAGCTGTAACAGAACTCTTCACATGTACCACAACAAAAAACGATAAAATCCGCTCAAAGCTGTTTGCAGTTTGACAGGGAGCGAGAGACGAGGGAATGGAGAGAGAGAGAGAGACAGACGTGACGAAGGAGTGAACAGACAGAACCCACAGTCATCCTCAGAGTCCAAACCAGCGTCTGTGTTTGTAAAAGCTGCACTGCTCCTCACAACAGACACGTGTGCAAGATCTTTTTAATGAAATCATGACCATAGGGTTTTATGGATTGTGCCTTTTTGATGAGTGCAGCATCTACGCACACATGTGTTCCCCGTCCCCACACATGTGTCCCGTGTCCCGTGCGTGGCCGTGTATGGACTGTAAAAGTCTCAAGCCACACGTGAATATAAAACTGTGTCAGACAGAGACAGGTGTGTTTCTGACTCAGGTGTGTGATGCTCGTGCTGAAACTTTTGACTAAACTGTTTCTTTAGACGTTCTTGGAGACGGAGCTAAAATAATCTTGACAGTTAGTCTGGTCACGACCAGGTTTGTTTCTGGTTCAGTCCTGGTCTAGTCCTGGTTCAGTCCTGGTTTAGTCCTGGTTTAGTCCTGGTTTAGCCCTGTTTTAGACCTGGTTTAGTCCTGTTTTAGTCCTGGTTTAGTCCTGGTTCAGTCCTGGTTTTAGTCCTGGTTCAGTCCTGTTTAGTCCTGGTTCAGTCCTGGTCTAGTCCTGGTTCAGTCCTGGTCTAGTCCTGGTTCAGTCCTGGTCTAGTTAGTCCTGGTTCAGTCCTGGTCTAGTCCTGGTTCAGTCCTGGTTTAGTCCTGGTTCAGTCCTGGTCTAGTCCTGGTTCAGTCCTGGTCTAGTCCTGGTTCAGTCCTGGTTCAGTCCTGGTTCAGTCCTGGTTTAGTCCTGGTCTCAGTCCTGCTTCAGTCCTGTTTCAGTCCTGGTTCAGTCCTGGTTCAGTCCTGGTCTAGTCCTGTCCTTTCAGTCCTGGTTCAGTCCTGGTTCAGTCCTGGTTCAGTCCTGGTTCAGTCCTGGTTCAGTCCTGGTCTTGTCCTGGTTCAGTCCTGGTCTTGTCCTGGTTCAGTCCTGGTTTAGTCCTGGTTCAGTTCTGGTCTAGTCCTGGCTCAGTCCTGGTCTAGTCCTGGTTCAGTTCTGGTCTAGTCCTGGCTCAGTCCTGGTCTAGTCCTGGTTCAGTCCTGGTCTAGTCCTGGTTCAGTCCTGTCTTCTAGTCCTGGTCTAGTCCTGGTTCAGTCCTGGTTTAGTCCTGGTCTAGTCCTGGTTCAGTCCTGGTTCAGTCCTGGTTTCTCTGTTTTTCAGGTCCACAGTAATAACATGTTTTCTCGTGGAGTGAAGATCTTCTCGTCGGTGTCGTGTGAGTTTAAGCCCCGCCTCCTGGGTCGTTTTGGGGCGGAGCGTGTGGAGTTCAGGACGGTCCTGGACGATCGGAACCCGAGCGCTCGTTACGTGACGGTGCCTTTAGGGCGCGCGGGCCGAGTCGTACGCTGCAACTTCACCTTCGCCGACGTCTGGATGATGTTCAGCGAGATCTCCTTCCACTCAGGTGCAGAGAGTTTAGTTTAGTTTATTGTTTAGTTTAGTCCTTGTTTAGTTGGTTCAGTCCTTGTTTAGTCCTTGGTTAGTCCATTGGTTTAGTCCTGGTTTAGTCCTTGTTTAGTCTTGGTTCAGTCCTTGTTTAATTCTGGTTTAGTCCTGGTTTAATCATGGTTTTAGTCCTGGTTTAATCCATGTTTATTCCTGGTTTAGTCCTGGTTTAGTCCTTGTTTAGTCCTGGTTTAGTCCTGGTTTAGTCTTTGTTTAGTCCTGGTTCAATCGTGGTTTTAGTCCTTGTTTAGTCCTGGTTTAGTCCTGGTTCAATCATGGTTTTAGTCCTGGTTTAATCCTTGTTTAGTCCTGGTTTAATCCTGGTTCAATCCTTGTTTAGTCCTGATTCAGTCCTGGTTTAGTCCTGGTTTCATCCTGGATTAGTCCTTGTTTAGTCCTGCTTTAGTCTGGGTTTTTTCCTGGTTTAGTTTTTTTTTTTCAGTCCTGGTTCAATCCTGGTTTTAGTCCTGGTTTAATCCTTGTTTAGTCCTGGTTTAGTCCTGGTTCAGTCCTGGTTTAGTCCTGGTTTCATCCTGAATTAGTCCTGGTTTAGTCCTGGTTTAGTTTTTTTTTTTCAGTCCTGGTTCAGTCCTGGTTCAGTCCTGGTTTAGTCCTTGTTTAGTCCTGGTTTAGTCCTGGTTTAGTCTTTGTTTAGTCCTGGTTCAATCGTGGTTTTAGTCCTTGTTTAGTCCTGGTTTAGTCCTGGTTCAATCATGGTTTTAGTCCTGGTTTAATCCTTGTTTAGTCCTGGTTTAATCCTGGTTCAGTCCTTGTTTAGTCCTGATTCAGTCCTGGTTTAGTCCTGGTTTCATCCTGGATTAGTCCTTGTTTAGTCCTGGTTTAGTTTTTTTTTTCAGTCCTGGTTCAGTCCTGGTTCAGTCCTGGTTTAGTCCTTGTTATAGTCCTGGTTTAGTCCTGGTTTAGTCCTTGTATAGTCCTGGTTTAGTCCTGGTTTAGTCCTTGTATAGTCCTGGTTTAGTCCTGGTTTAGTCCTTGTATAGTCCTGGTTTAGTCCTGGTTTAGTCCTGGTTTAGTCCTGGTTCAGTCCTGGTTTAGTCCTGGTTTAGTCCTGGTTTAGTCCTGGCCCAGTCGTCGTGTTTTGTTTCATTCACATAATTGTAATGTGCTGTTGTGGTTTGTCCCTCAGAAGACGCCGTAGTCACAGAGACGACGCCTCTGAGCGACGAAGAGAAGACGACCTCCGCACCCGTGCTCCACCCGACCGCCACGGTGTCCCCCCACTCAGGTACAGGACGGGAGGGCATCTGACGCAAAGGACGGGACGGGAGGGCATCTGACGCAAAGGACGGGACGGGAGGGCATCTGACGCAAAGGACGGGACGGGAGGGCATCTGACGCAAAGGACGGGACGGGAGGGCATCTGACGCAAAGGACGGGACGGGAGGGCATCTGACGCAAAGGACGGGACGGGAGGGCATCGGTCCTGGTTTAGTCCTGGTTTAGACTTTGTTTAGTACTTTAGGTTCAGTCCAGGTTCAGTCCAGGTTCAGTCCTGGTTTATTAGTGGTTTAGTTCTTCAGGTTCAGTCTTGATTTAGTCCTGGTTTAGTTTTTGTTTATTCCTGGTTTAGTTTTTGTTTATTCCTGGTTTAGTTTTTGTTTATTCCTGGTTTAGTCCTGGTATATTCCTTCTTTAGTCCTTGTTTAGTCCTGCTTTAGTCCTGGTTCAGTCCTGGTTTAGTAATGGTTTGAGTCCTGGTTTTGTCCTTGTTTAGTCCTGGTTTAGTCCTGGTTTAATCCTTGAACTACAGCCTACTTACAGGACGGGAGGGCATCTGACTCGTTTTCTGTCACGTGCAGCGGTGGTGAACGCGTCGTCCAGCCCCGCCCCTGAGGACGGGAGCTCGGCCGTTCTGATTGGCTGCCTGGTCTCGATCATCCTGCTCCTGTTGGTCGTCATCTTCCTGATCCTGTGGTGTCAGTGCGTCTGCAAAGTCCTGGAGAAGGTCTGTGTCTGTTCAAATGTTCTACACAAACATTTATGAACGATCTGGGAAAAAAACAGTGATTATGTAATAGACATAAATTATGTCAGTTATGTAATAAGAATAAATCACAGCATTACAGTTGTCATCTGTAAAAGTTATATTTGATTTGAACTAGTGCTGTGGATTGATTAAAATATTTAATTGCGATTAATCTCATAAATGTCATAGTTAACCTGCAAGTAATCTCAAATTAATCACATATTTTTGTTCCTTGAATAATCATTTTAATCCTCTTATCAACACAGAAAAGTGGATAAGCTTTGTGCAAATGTTTTTTTTTTATTGCCATAACAATTACCAAACCAAACCATGACAACTGTCAATGAGACAACTGTGTGTTCGATGTTCCACTTTGATGAAGTGTTCTGCAACAGTGTGAGAGAAGAGCCTCTTCTGTTTTTATAACCGTCAAAGCCACTGAAGTTCCCACTTAAAGGTTGTATAGAGGATTTTCCAAGGAACGAGAAATCCAGCGACTGTTTGTCCTTTTTCAAATGTTGCTCCTGCGTGAAACCACCTCCCCTCCCCCACAGCTCCTACGTAGAAACACCTCCTCCCGCCTCCTCCTTACGCCAGAAACAGGTTTGTTTACAGCCGGTGCTGCACATGACTTGTAAAAACAACTAACTAAGTGTTGGTTAGACAAGACGAGAGTTGGGAGGGGGGGGGGGAGCAGCTGTGGGGAGGTCCGACGAGAGTGAGGAGCAGGGAGGAAAGAGTGGATCGGGGCAGCGGGGGAAGGAGCAGGAAAGGTGTGCAGAGGAATTTGCGCGGAGATTCCAGTGCGAAATGATAGCTACAACACGCAGCAGCAGCGGACTCTTTCTTTGCTTGAAAATTATGTTTTTCAGACATAGGTATATCGGCTTTCGTGTCTGAAAAACGTGTATCCAAGCCTTGTAAATAAAGTACGTTTTCATAATAAGCAGAAGTTTCCTGTCCAGGGAATATTAATGTGGACCAGTGCGCGTCTTTAGACCTGCGTCTGCTTCAGTCGCGCCATCGTGGAATTAATCTATAAGAATCACCTAGTTGGCTTCGCTGTCTTTTCCTCTTGTTCTTCTTTTCAGCGACTTAAAAACAGACTTTGTTTTGGGGCGAACTGCTCCTGGATTCTTGTCGCCATTGCAACAAACTTTGTAGCGAATGCGAGGAAAGATATAGGTTCAAAAAAAAGCCGCTAAGAACTTTGCGTTGGTGGAGTAAAAGCTCTGTGCGTTTGGTCTGTGGATGCGGACAGACGTACGTAAACCACGTACCGGCGGCGCAGGCAAGTCATTACACTAGGCAACGTTAGGGAGTTTGATGACAGCCTGTTAGCTCACAGATAAGAGGGCAGATGTCGTTATCTATTGGCAAAGTTTACCCCAGACGTAAGGAGTGTATCTTTCCTTTCTTTTTTTTATCATCATATTACAAGGACTGATCTAAATCTGTCATTAACAATTTGAAACAAAAAAAAAATCCTCCATACAACCTTTAAGGTGAAATAATAATGTTCTGTGACCTGAGGCAGTTCTCATGACAGAGGGACGTCCTGTGATCTGCAGTCAGCATCATTGTGTTTGTCTGTTTGTCTGTTTGTGTGTTTGTGTGTTTGTCTGTTTGTGTGTTTGTCTGTTTGTGTGTTGTCTGTTGTTGTTGTCTGTTTGTGTGTTTGTCTGTTTGTGTGTTTGTCTGTTTGTGTGGTTTGTGTGTTTGTTTGTGTGTTTGTCTGTTTGTGTGTTTGTCTGTTTGTGTTTTGTGTTTGTGTGTTTGTCTGTTGTGTTTGTCTGTTTGTGTGTTTGTCTGTGCGTTTTCTGTTTTGTGTTTTGTGTTGTTGTTGTGTTTGTGTGTTTGTCTGTTTGTGTGTTTGTGTGTTGGGGCAGAGGCTGCTGGGCTCCTGTCACTGTCCTCGGTCCCTGTCGGGGTGGGCAGGGTTTGGCCGTATGTTTTGGAGCGGACTTTGTTTTGTGTTTTCCTCGTGTGGGTGGCGTCGGCGTGTGAGCAGGGCTTGTGTGATGAGGTCGTGCTTGTGCGTGACTTCAGTTTTGTACAAATTGTTTTCTTTCCTGTTTACAGCCTGTAGTTTTTTATCACGTTACAGCAGCGGCCACAGCTTATGAAAAAACTAGATCACCAAGTCACAAAGAGCGTTAAACTTGTGATAAAAAAAAAAAAATGTTTGTGTTTACTCGTTTATAGCGAGATATTTTTGACAGCACATGTTTTCCTTGCATCTGTGGACTTGAGTTGTCAAAAGTATCGAAAATCAGATACTAATCGATACTAAAACTAGTATTGAAATTAGATAATCGTTTTTTTTCACGTAGGTTTGTGTTGTACATCTTGTGCGTGTGTTCAGGCTCCTCGTAGGATCCTGGAGGAGGAGGTGACGGTGCGACTGTCGTCCTGCAGCGACACCATCGTCCTCCAGACCCCCCCTGTGCCCCCCCGCAACGCACACACACACGGTACTGACCCCTGCACACAACACACACAGCACACACACACACAACACACACACACAAACACACACACACACACACACACGGTACTGACCCCTACACACAACACACACACACACAAACACACAACACACACGGTACTGACCCCTACACACAACACACACACACACACAACACCACACACACACACACGGTACTGACCCCTACACACACACACACACAACACCACACACACACACGGTACTGACCCCTACACACAACGCACCACAACAACGCACACACAGGACTCACAATCAAGTCATAATCTCCTACACACAACGCACACTCACATCAACGCGTTCTGAACGCCCTACACACAAACACACACACACGCCAAGGTACTGGACCACCTGCAACACAATACAATCAGCCACACATATGGCACACACACACACTGCTGTACCTGACCACCCTGCACACAACACACACAACATTCACCACTCAAAAGGAAATCAAATATTCCCCAGACCCCAAAAAAACTCCTTTGAGATTAAATTAATATCTCACGTGCCGTCACATGACCCCCACTATACAATCCAAATAACACGCTCACAATAAACGCAAACTGGGCAAAAACAACGCAACTCCTACCTCACACTCCGATGATGCGACCCAGACTCTGGGACCCAGATCTGTTTTAAAAAACAGTGGTTAGCTTTATCTGGACACTACAACAAAAAATTCAGCCAAAACACCAACCAACTAACTAACAAACCACAACGTACATACAACAACACCGGTACTGTTCCAATCAGGAACACTCACCCTCTACACCCCAACACACTGCGCGTCAAAAAAATGCTTATCATAGCAACAAATGGGATCACATAAGAAATTAACTTGCCAAATCACACAAACTGTCGCGGTACACACTGTATCCCTACTTTCAACCCCTTACTGCACATATCAAGCACACACCCCACTAACTCAGGCCACTTCTGGGAACAACAAAATCCACCCACGAGGAACACAACTCAGGTACTCGACCCCTATCCACCCACAACTTCACAACACCATTGAGCACACGATACACTGCATCGCATGCTACCACAACTACAGCCCCCCTTGTATCTATACGCCCTTACACACTCTAACAGCAGCAAGCAAACCCTAACGACACTATCACAATACAATTCCACATGAGATTAACGAGCAATACTGCCTCTCAACATACCATCACCTACACCATCACACTAGGGGACACAGGACACCACAACCATCACACAACTACCCAACCACCCGGAGTATGAAACACTCCACTCGCACCTTACAATCATTCGTCACACCACACCACACACACCACCACACACATGGATACTGGAATCAGAGTAAACTGACCCTACCAACACATAAACCACACACACTAACCACTCCAATCACGACAACCACACCAACCTGGAGAATAATGACCATACCATGAAACAACCACACATCCAAAACTACATAGGGCACAACCCACAATAAAAACACTACCACTCTCTGGAATACACTGTTACTTGACTACCCCCCCCTACACACCAAACACCCACACAATCACACACTAACACCAGCCCAACAACAACCAAGCACACACCACACTCAACACCCCTGGTCCACCTTCCTTGCGAGTATTTCTGCTAACAAAACCATCATATATACAACGTATCATATCATTGAACATATATCACACATCCATCACCACTGTTCCACCTAACCTTTTCTTTGTCTGGTAGGGTACTGCAACACCCCACTACCTATGTCGACACACCTCAGCCAACATTTAACAACAAATCAAATACATTGAAGTCCACCTGACAAGAGAACACACCACACAACCACCCATAGTCAACAACTGGACCACCAACACACACACCACTCATACACCAAAACACAACACAAGCCCAACAACATCAATCACAACCACACAACACCACACACTCACACACCAGCGTTATACTATTTTATTCCAAAAGAAATCCGAGATAGGGAAGCACACAGAGCTACTGTACCATACAAATACTCTAAACCTTATACAAACAGCACACGCATTTCGTATACACTCGGATGAGATTTCTGCCCGAAACCCCTACAGACACCACGAGACAATACCAACGTTTGAACTCTTTGTCCTTTTACTCAACATGTTGCGCTCACACAACCACACATGCGTGTAGCATGAAACCACCCCCCCTATCCCCACTACACAGCGATCCACTACGTCACAACAGACACCACAACACACGACCCATTCGTCTCCCGTACCCTGATCCCTCTACTCACCTACTACAGCACCACAACACACAAAGGCAACAAACCACAGGCTATTACTTATACAAGCCGGCGACTAGCAACCATGACTTGTAAACAACTAAGCTTACTACTGACAGCCTGTTTAGGATTACACAGGACCAAGGCGCGAGAAAGGCGACAGCGAGAGCAAGGGGGCACACAGGGGATCAACACACACACACAAACACACACACAACACCTTGGACAGGACAGTTTCCATCCACACACGGTACTGACCCCCCGTGATAACATCGAGAAAGTGAGGAGCAGGGAGAAAGACACACGCACGAGCAAGAGCAAACACGAGAGAAGAGGAGAGGAGAGAAGGAGAGGGACGAGCGGAAGAGGACTGGGAGAGACAGTGCCGGCAAGGAGAATCCCACACACGAAGCAAGTTGAGGAGCAGGGTTAGCTGAAAGCAGCCCCGTAGACACACAACAACAACCGACAACAGCCACCACAAGCACACACCGTACTGACCCCTAACCAACACACACAACACCACACACACCACACGTTACTTGACGCCGACTACACAGCAAGCAACAGCGGAGCACAGGACAAACAGGAGATCAGCGAAACACACAACGACGAACGTACGCGGAACAGACACCTTACACAACAGCACACACCGAGGTACTAGTTAGACCCCATAATAGCACACATCACACAACAGACACACGCACAAGCAAACACCAGCGACGACACACAACGGCTCTGGACCCCTACACTCACGATACTACTTTCAGCCAACGCATGACACAAAGAGCGTCACATACAACCCACAAACACCACGAATACACCATCACCGCCCCGGCGTACGTACTGACCATTTACACACAACCCAGCACAGAAGGCAACCAATCACACACGTACTGACCCCTACACACCGTACGCACAACACACACACAACGCTCACACACGCGCAACACACACACGGTACTGACCATACACACAACGCACACATAACACATACACACAGTACTGACCCCCTACACACTGTACGCACACACACACACACAACGCACACACACAACACACACGGTATTGACCCACTACACACAACACACACACACACACACACACACGGTACTGCCCCTACACACTGTACACACACAATGCACACACACACGGTACTGACCCTACACACTGTACGCACAATGCACACACACACACACACACACACACACACACGGTACTGACCCTACACACTACACACACACAACGCACACATACAGTACTGACCCCTACACACAACACACACACACACACACACACACACACACACGGTACTGACCCCTACACACACACACACACACACACACACACGGTACTGTCCCCCTACACACAGACCTGGTTTAGACGTAGTCCTGGTTGAGTTCAAGTTGAGATCTAGTTGAGTTCTAGTTAAGTCCTAGTTTTCCCTGGTTTAGTCTGGTATTAGTCCTGGTTTAATTCTTTTGTAGACCTGGTTTAGTCCTGGTTTAGTCCTGGTTTAGTCTGTCTCCTCTCAGTGAGGAGGAGGTTGTGGGTTAGACTCCGTGTGGCAGGGCTGATCTTGGTGTTTTGTTTAATTTTGTTTTATTTTGTAGGGGTGAACTCTGACCCTCACTACGAGCGAGTTTTCCTCCTGGACCCTCAGTACCAGAACCCGGCTCATCTGAGGAACAAACTCCCCGAGCTGTCCCAGAGCGCAGAGGCCTCAGGTACGGAGTATTACTACTACTGCTAGTACTACTGCTTGTACTATTACTGCCATTAATCACTGGGGGAAATCCGATGTGTTGTAAACCAGTACAATCTCATCTGGAGGTTAAAACGCATTCAGACGTAAGAAACTTCCCCTTTTTACCCCCTTTTTTCAGTACAACCTGTTATTTCCTAATCTGCTGTTGTAGTTGTGTCATATGGCTGTAATAAAAACTACAGGACCAGAAATACAAATGAAAAAAAAAAAAAAAAAAAAAAACAGAAAATAAAATTCAAACACTTTCATACAAAGTTCACAGAAGACATGTATACATTTTTTGGACATAAAAAAATGCTTCATTTATT